TTTAGACCGAGCTTTGACTGAGATCGTAGCTGGGTCTCCACACCATTGTCATTTCAGCTCCATATGACTTTCATCGACAGCTCCTGCATTTAATGCACAGATTGTCCATTACACTCATAAAGCAGACCAATGAACCTCACAGGTGCAGTGCAAGTGTCAATTGACACTGCCATGCAGGCCTGCGAGGTTATGAAGGTCATGTCAATAATTGTTAGTGTTTGGAAGTCTGGTCTCATGACTGGAAAAAGACCGTAACCAGACCAGACCAAGACTGCAAAAAACCGGACCTGCGGTTACAGTCTTTTATTTTTGAGAACTAAAGACCGCAAAAAAACCGGTCTAAACGGACCGGTCTTAACCGGTTTGGACCGGTCTTTTGTAGCCCCTTAAATACCCTTCAAAACGCACCCAAGCACGTATTAATTGGTTCAGAATTGACAAAGATATAAATAAAAGTGTAAAATTTCGTTAAAAATAGTAGATGTACATGACCTTTTTTATAGAAACACCAATTCTCAACGGAATTTAACGTTCTTGGGCTCTTTTTAAAGCTACGAATCACTTTAACAAATTTACCGATTCATAATTTTAAAATATTGGCCAGAAAACCGGTCTTAAACCGGTTAAAACCGAAGAAGACCAAGACCGGTCTATAGACCACAAAAAGACTGCAGACCGCGGTTTTTTGCGGTCCGGTTCGGTCTTTTGACTTTTGGGGAAAATGCGGACCAGTTACGGTTATGGTTAAGGCCCAGAGGCATCAAAAAACCGGACCAGACCAGACTTTTAAACACTAATGATTGTCATTGTCATGTGTCATGGTTCTGTGCCACATGGTTGTTGTGTCAGTTCAGCTAGGTGTGTGTGAGCAGAGTCATGAGCCAAGCTGGGAAGCATATGTTGTATGGGATCAAAGAAGTTCAATATATCAGTAATTTGATGTATGCATATAGGAAGAGAAACCTGGAATAAAATGGAATGAGTAAATTGACAATCCATGATGTCGTTAAAACGTTAAATGGGTGAAGGGGCTTGGCTATGGTTAAACATTTGGAGTAAAAGCCAAATAAAGAAAGCACTCCCCTCAGGCCTCAGGTCATGTGCCACCTACTCTGTGGTAACAGGTTGAGCTAAGCATGTATAAGTGCTTGGCAACTCTCCCCCACATCAGTCTCAGCTCAGGTCTTGTGACTCACAAAATTGACAAGTCTGGTTGTGGAGGCTCTTGACAGCACTTGTGAAGCTGCAATTACCACTGGCTCCACAATAACTGCCAGCTCCAGTCATGAAGCTGAACAGAGATGCTGCATCATCAAGTAAACGAGGCTACCTGCCTCACAAAATAACCACTCCCCTGTCCAATTCAAAGTTGAAATATTATTCTCAATGTACCTTGAATGACATCTCATAACTCTACATCCATATTAATTCATGTAAGTCATGTACAAAGAGTGTGATAGGCAGCTACAGTACTCCCATAGAGTTTAGAAACCTAGATTATCTTCTAGATGTTTGATGGACGGGGTTTGAAAATATATTCAGCCAGCTTTCTAAACAGTACAAATCTACACAAGCATAATCAATTTTTTTTGTGGAAGCAGATCTTGTTTAAATTCAGGATTCCCCACTTGAGCTCATTATTGTATATGTGGTATCCCTGTATACATGTGTATTCATGTATCCACATATATGTGTATTCTTGTATTCATGTATTCATGTATCCATGTATCCACATATTCTTGTATTTATGTATACATATTCATGTATCCACATATATGTGATGTATACACATATCCATGTCATGTATACATGTATTCATCAAGAATATGCATATATGTTGGATACATGAATACATAGCTATGTGTATACAAGGATACCCACATACATGGATACCTGCATACAAGAATATGCATATACATGGATACATGGATACATGCATATATGGATACAAGGATACACATATTCATGGATGCAAGAATATACATATACATGGATATACAAGAATACACATATATGTGGATACATAAATACAAGAATAGATAAGATACATGAATACATGTATCCTATTCATGAATGCAAGAATACACATATATATAAATACAAGAATACACAAACAGACATATGTTTGTATTCACATATCCACATATACATGTATTCTTGTATTCATGTATCCATATATATGCATATTCTGTATCCATGTAGTTGTGTTCTGCTCATACCATGACATTTGCATGAGCTTAGAGTCTGTGCCCTCTACTTCTGATACTTAGAAGTTACTGTACTAATACGACCACGTCTTCACGTCACACATCACAAAGGGTTGTGAAGGAAGGGAAGTAGGTGTGATGTCACGCATCACACCAAGTTTTGAAGAGTTTTTTTTTTTGAATTAAAAATAGTCATTTTTTTCCGGACCTGCGGTGCCTTGTTTTAAACATCACATTTGGCATATTTAGAACCATGTTATACTTGAGGAATGCATGCTTACCTTCCAGCCAAAAAATTAACAGGTTGCTGGGCCAAACTGTCTGAGAAATATGTGGTGGACGAAGAGCAAAAACTCTTCATCACGCATCACACAGGACAATGAAGCGACGAAGAGATGGTCAAAACATGTCACACCCCAAGGGGCCTGAACAGTTGGTCGTATTAGTACAGTAGTACTGACTTTGTATTGACTTGAATGAGTGGTGTTTGGCAAGCAAGGTGCAACCAAACAACTTGAACTGAACTCATGTGCAAGTTATACTAACTCACTGGCATTGGAACATTGTAAAATAGTGTAGAATATCCCTTGTATATAAATACTGCCTCTTTGAATGCAAGAGAGGCATCTCTTAACTTTACCCCACTTTATCTCTCATATTTGAGAACTGCTGTAAGCACAAGCAGTACTCTTGTAGGACCAGGTAAGGCTTCACGCTACCCAGTCTGAAGCTGTCCTAAGATTGTTATGCTTCACACTAACATCACGTATGATTAAAGACTTGCTCTAATCATTCAGCAGTCTGGTACTCAATTTCCTTACTCAGTTTCAAAGTCTCTAAAATACTTCAAAGATACTTACAGAACCCTACAGTCCTGCTCATGTCTTCTTTGGTAACCCAGATAGTTATTCATTTGTATTCAATTTCTACTGACAACTTGTATACTCATAGGAGTACACCAAAGATTACGAGCCATATCGTAACAAGATGAGCCAAGCACACTGCTCAATTAGAAGTTGTCCAAAATTTTGGTGGTGAATTATTGCCAAGAGTGTTAACATTTTGTGTAGCTTTTTCATTCTTTTCATTTGTGAATCAACTTCTTGTCCATGCCCATGCATCCCTCCCACCTGATGCACTTGAAGCCTTCAAAATGAATGGCAGAAAGCAGTGCAAACAATGTGATACTGTAATTTCCCAGTCCAATCCTGCAGCATAACACCATGGTAAGGTCCAGAAAATGTCACTTGAAGATGATCAGCCAAAGAGAATGCAGTGAAAGTATCAAAAGCATAGATTCAATGTTGCACATACTTATCACTGAGTTTATCTAACACTCATTTAGTATTTTTACAGATACATGTGTACATGGATACATGAATACAGGGATACATGAATACATGAACACATGAATACAGGGATACTTGATACATGTATATGTGTAATGTGTATATGTGAATACAAGGATACATGTATGCATGGATACAAGGATACATGAATACAATAATACAAGTGTATGTGTATATGTAGATACAAGAATACAAGTATATGTGTATACATGGATAAATGAATACAAGGATACATGTATATGCAGATACCTGAATACAAGGATACAAGAATATGTGTATATGTAAATATAGGAATACAGAACATGTGTATACATGTAACAAGCTTCCATAGCAAGAGGGTGAAACAATGAACAAGGGTGTAATCAAAGTATTGCCCATATCTATGTTAAAAACATGCTGCAAGCATATGCAAAGTATGAGCAAAGTGGGACTGAGTAAGAGATCTTTAGTCACTCCAAAAAATAGAGACCAAAGATGAATGACTTACACAAATATAATCATTTTCTTCTCAACTGCAATTCTATTCTCAAGAATATCATACACTGCCTGGAACTTGCTAGAGATGTAAGAAATCTCCAGGTGGTGACTGAAGATATCCTTGACACTCTGAGGAAGCTGACAGGGAAACTGTTCAGCACTGATGAGTGGCTGAGGTCAGTGCAGATTGACAAGTCTGCCAAGTCATCAAAACTGGTATTGTCAGCAAAGTTGATTGATAAATAAAACCTGAATGATAACCTTGCATGTGTCTCATCTGAAGTCAGGTCTGGGTCCAAAGAAGGATCCCTCGCCAGAGGCAAAAAATCAAGGAATTCATCATCCACAGAAATATCTGTGGGAGGTGGCAGTGATCCAGCCAATAACTGCATCTGGAAACAGACTAGCAAAGATACATCATGTTAGGATTGCTAAG